TTTCCTGGGCTGGGAAGGTGGCTCAGTGGTAGAGCGCTTGCCTTGCATGCCTGAGGCCCTGGGTTCGATTCCTCAGCACCACATAAGCAAAAAGGAAAAAGCCAGAAGTGGTGCTGTGGCTCAAATGGTAGAGTGCTAGCCTTGAGCTGAAGAGCTGAGGGACAGCGCTCAGGCCCCGTGACCGGACCCAAAAAAAAAAAAAGAGTCTGAGTTTCCTACCTGGGCTGGCTTTGAACCAAGATCCTCATATCTCAGCCTCCTGAGTACCTGAGATTATAGGCATAAGCCACTAGCACCCCACTTAAACCTTTTTTGGGGGGTAGGGAGCCCGGTTGTGGGACCTGAACTCTGGGCCTGGGCGCTGTCCCTCAACTCTTAAGCTCAAGGCTAGAGCTCTACCACTTGAGCCACAACCACTTCCGGCTTCTTTTTTCTATTTTCTTTTTCTTCTTCTTTTTTTTTTTTTTTGCTTATGTGGTGCTAAGGAATTGAACCCAGGGCCTCATGCACGCAAAGCAAGCACTCCACCACTGAGCCACCTTCCCAGCCCCTGCTTGAACATTTTTGTACATTAAATTTTTTTTTAGTTAAAATGACAACAGTGCTCTATTGTCATGAGCCTGAAATTGTTCTAATCAAACAGAAACAAATTTATAGTAATATAGGACTATTCTGAACTCTTGTTTTTTTTCTTGTCCTCAGATTCACCTCACCTCAGGCAGAACTCTATGAAGCTGTTCTAGAGATCCAGCGAGGCTGTCTGAGCCTCTGCATGCCTGGGACAAGCTTGGAGAACATCAACAGCTTGATGCTGACACTGATGGGTCAGAAGCTAAGAGAGCTGGGCATTGTGAAGAGCAGTATGGAAAATGCATTCAAGGTGCTTCACTATTCTTGACTCCAGTTCTCAAGAACACTTAGTACACTGCCAAGTTATTACCCTGTATCACAAAGCTAAGTAGATTTAAAATAGTCTGCAATTCTTTATGAGGGACTTGGTTTAACATGGATTAAAACAAAAGAAGTAGTTACTTATTTCTCCCAGAAGATGGCAGCACATTGTGATTCTTGCCTATAGCATAGTCAGCCAGCTCAATATTCAGAAAACATGAAATGAAGTCTGGTACAGACAAGATAGGATGCTAAGGACACAAAAAAGGTTAACAATCTCATGTGATTCTAGAGGCCACAGGAAGATGATTATTGTTTTAGTAACAGTGCTTATACTTTAATAGTATGATCAAAGACCATTTTATTTGCATTCTAAATGTAATGGCCAGAGGTTGGTGGCTTACACCTATAATACTAACTTCTCCGGGCTAAGATCTGAGGATCTAGGTTTGAAGCCAACCCAGGGAAGCAAAGCCCATGAGATTTTTTTTCCCCCCAGTACAAGGGCTTGAACTCTGGGTCTAGGTGCTGTCACTGAGTTTTTATGCTTAAGGCTAGTGCTCTACCGTGTGAGCTACAACTCCACTTCTGGCTTTTGTGCTTAATTGGAGATAAGAGTCTCATAGACTTTTCTGCTTGGGCTGGCTTTGAACCGTGATCCTCAGATCTTAGCCTCCTGAGTAGCTAAGACTACTGGAGTGAGCCACCATTGCCTGGCACCATGAGACTCTTATCTCCAATTAAACAACAAAAAGCCAAATGTGGATCTCTGGCTCAAGGGGTAGAGTACTAACCTTGAACACAAAAGCTCAGGGACAGCACCTAGGCTCTGAATTAAAGCCCCAGAACTGGCACAAAATAATAATAATAAAGTTAAGATGCCAAGTGCTAGCCAAACAGACCATTTAGCATCTTCTGCTCAGTCTCTCAGACTCCTATTAGCAATGGAAAAGAAGCTGAAAGGACTGGGAAGGTGTCTCAGTGATAGAGCCTTGCATGCATGAGGTCCTGGGTTCATTTCCTTGGTACCACATAAGGAGAAAAAGCCAGAAGTGGTGCTGTGACTCAAGTGGGAGAGCACTAGCCTTGAGATGAAGAGCTGAAGGACAGTGCCCAGGCCCAGAGTTCAGATGCTGTGACTGACCAAAAAAAAAGCTGAAAATTCCCTGTTGTTCAATCCAAGAAATCCTTCATTAACTGATAGAAGTTTTTTTGTTTTGTTTTATCTTGTCTTGTTTATTTTTGTTTTTTTTTGGGGGGGGGGTCCGGTCGTGGGACCTAAACTCTGGGCCTGGGTGCTGTCCCTCAGCTCTTCAGCTCAAGGCTAGTACTCTACCACTTGAGCCACAGTACCACTTCCAGCTTTTTTCTTTTTGCTTATATGGTGCTGATGAATCGAACCCAGGGTCTCATGAATGCAAGGCAAGCGCTCTACCACTGAGCCACCTTCCTAGCCCCAGTTCCAGTTTTTTGAGTGATTATTTGGAGATCAAAGTCCCACAGGGACTTTTCTTCCTAGTCTGGCTTCAAACCACGATCTCAGCCTTCTGAGTAACTAGTAGCTAGTATTATAGGCGTAAGCCACCTGCATCAGTCTCAAGAACTATTTTCTGCTGCAGTGGCTCATGCCTATAATCCTAGCTACTCAGAATCAGAGGGTCACAGTTCAAAGCCAGTCCAGGCAAGAAAGTCCATGAGGACTCTTATCGCCAATAAACCACTAGAAAACCGGAAGTGGCGCTGTGGCTCAAGCAGTAGAGCACTCGCTTTGAGCTGAAGAGCACAGGGACAGCGCCCAAGCCCAGAGTTCAAGCCCCACGACTGACCAAAAAAAAAAGTGGCAAGACTATGGGGGAGAGATTAACACATTTCTCACTGACTTATTCATGCCTAACTTTCCCATAAGACATCATTGTTCTAATAATGCTGTATAATTCTTCCAGGTTGCTCGAAAATACTGCCCTCACCATGTTGGCCATTACCTTGGGATGGATGTGCATGACACTCCAGATATGCCCCGTTCCCTCCCACTGAAACCTGGTATGGTGATCACAGTTGAGCCAGGTAATGAGGGGTCTTAGCAGATCTGACCTGGGCACAGGGAATACTATCAAGTGGTTTTAATTAGAACCAACATAATTAAAAGAAACACCAGCCAGGCACCAGTGGCTCACGCCCGTATTCCTAGCTACTCAGGAGGCAAGATCTGAGGATCATGGTTCAAAGCCAGCCCCGGCAAGAAAGTCTGTGAGACTCTTATCTTCAATAAAGGTACTAGAAAACCGGAAGTGGCACTGTGGCTCTAGCAGTAGAGCACGTGCCTTGAGCTGAAGAGCTGAGGGACAGCACCCAGGCCCAGAGTTCAAGCCCCATGTCTGACCAAAAAAAACACCAAGGGCTGGGAAGGTGGTTCAGTGGTAGAGTGCTTGCCTTATATGCATGAGGCCCTGGGTTTGATTCCTCAGCAACACATAAGCAGAAAAAGCTAGAAGTGGCCCTGTGGCTCAAGTGGTAAAGTGCTTGCCTTGAGCTGAAGAGCTGAGGGACAGTGCTCCAGCCCAGAGTCAGGCCCCATGACTGACAAATAAAAAGAAACACCAAGAAAAGTCTCTTCAATGTTAGAAGAGAACTTTGTTTTGGACTTAACATCAGACAGTTTGTTTTCATTGACTCCAATAAGTACCAGATGGTGAATATTTTCTATAAGTAGATATTAAAAAGTAAGTTTATAATCCTGCCTTTGCCGAGGTCCATTTGTATTCATCTCCCAGTTAGTAGTAATAGGTTTCTTGAACTTCCAGAGGCAAGTGTATGTAGACAAGAGGCAACGAAAACTCACTGTGTGTCCAGTGCAACTCCCCTGCCAACTTCAGCATTATCCTATCCTTTTTTTCTGAAATAGGGTCTTCCTTGTGTAGCCAGGCTGCCCATGAACTCTCCATCCTTCTGCCCAGCCTCCCCTGCATGCTAGGATTATAGCTATACACTATCATACCCAGCTCTACCAAGTCTTCTCTCATAAGCATCAAAAAACCTGGTAATTGAATAGGTCATCTCACTGGAGTAAGGCTAGCTTTGGGGAAGAATGCCAAAGCCAACTTGGTGGCAACAGTGAGCTACAAAGATAGATGCCATGAGAGTTGATTTTTTTTTTTTGTATGTGTGCTCCAATCCTGGGGCCTAGGTGCTGTCCCTGAGCTTTTTTGCTCAAGGCCAACAATCTACTGCTTGAGTTCCGGGTATGGCTTTTTTGTTGTGGTGGTGGTTTAATTGGAATAAGAGTCTACCCAGGCTGGTTTCAAACCTCAATCCTCAAATCTCAGTAGCTCCTAGCTACTGACACCTAGAAAAGTTCTTTTTTGTTGGTGGTGGTGGTGGTGGTGGTCATGGGGCTTGAACTCTGGGCCTGGGCACTGACCTTCAGCTCAAGGCTAGTGCTTTGCCACTTGAGTCATAGCCACTTCCAGCTTTTTCTATTTATGAGGTGCTGAGGAATTGAACCCAGGGCTTCATGCATGTGAGGCAAGCACTCTACCACTGACCCAACTTCCCAGCAGCACTAAGCTGTTTGTTTTTTGGGGGTTTTTTGATCATGGGGCTTGAACTCTGGGCTTGGGTGTTGTCCCTGCGCTCTTCAGCTCAAGGCCGAGCTACAGCACCCCTCCCATTTTCAAGTGGTTTATTGGAGATAATAGTCTCTTGGACGTTCTTACAACCAGGCTGGCTTTGAATCATGATACTCAGATCTTAGCCTCCTGAGTAGCTAAGATTACAGGCGTGAGCCACCAGCCCCAGCTGATTTTTTTTAACCAGTCCTGAGGCTTGAACCCAGGGACTGGGCACTTCTTTTGCTCAAGGCAAACACTCTATCACTTGAGCCACAGTGCCACTTCTGGCTTTTATTGTTTATGTGGTACTGAGGAACCAAACCCAGGGCTTCTTGTATGCTAGGCAAGCATTCTAACACTGAGCCACATTCCTAGCCCTTGATTTTTAAAAATATGTTGGAAGCCTGGTACCAAGGGTTCATGCATGTAATCCTAGCTACTCAGGAGCCTGAGATTTTAGGATCACAGTTCAAAGCCAGTCTGGGCAAGAAAGTCCATTTAGACTCTTATCTACCAAAAAATACTCACAAAAAGCTGAAAGTAGCACTGTGGCTCAAGTGGTAGAACACTAGCCTTGAGCCAAAGAAACTCAAAAGATAGCATCCAGGCCCAGAGTTCAAGCCTCAGGACCAGCAAAAAAAAAAAAAAAAAACAATGTTGGGGTTGGAGATTTAGCTCAGTGGAAGAGCACTAGCCTGGCAAGTACAAGGCACTGAGCTTGGTCCTCAGATCTGGGAAAAATGTAAAATTAATGTGTTTTCATCTTGAAAAATATATCTCAACTTTAGATTTGAAAATCCAGAAGTGAAGCTGTGGCTCAATTAATAGAATGCTAGCTTTGAGCAGAAAAGCTCAGGGATAATGCCTAGGCCCAGTTCAAGCTCCAGCTTGGGGGCAGGGGCGGGGGGAGTGGGGGTCTGAGTGAGCACCAGAGGCACTAAATTCAAGTGACAATACCTAGAGAGAGAGACAGAGACAGAGAAACACACACACAACACATGCACACAAAATAGTTTTAATCTCCAGTATGTTATGGAAACATTTATTTTTTGTTGGTCATGGGGCTTGAACTCAGGGCCTGAGCTCTTTTTGCTCAAGATTAGTGCTCTACCACTTTGAGCCATAGCACCACTTCCAGCTTTCTAGTAATTATTTGGAGATAGTCTCATGGACTTTCCTGCCTGGGCTGGCTTTGAACTGTGATCCTCAGATCTCAGCTTTCTGAATACCTAGTATTACAGGCATGAGCCACCAACACCTGACTAGAAAAATATCTTTTATTCCACATTGTGAAACTAGTAATATATTGCTTTCTGTGACCCTTAGATGGTATGTAGTGATCTTGTTGGTAACTTGTTAGTAACACTTGGATGCAGCCTAAGACTTTGACTTTTTTTTTTTTTTTCTTTTTTGCCGTCCTGGTGCTTGAACTCAGAGCCTGGGCACTGTCCCTGTGCTTCTTTTGCTTAAGGCTAGCAGTCTACCACTTGATCCACAAAGCCAATTCCAGCTTTTTCTGTATATGTGGTACTGACTGAGGAATCGAACCCACGGCTTCATGCATGCTAGGCAAGTACTCTACCACTAAGCCACATTCCCAGCCCCTGACAACATTTTCTATTGCTGTTTTTGGTTTTATTTTTTCCCTTCCTGTTATTGGAGCTTTTACTCAGGTCCTCACACTCTCTCACTAAGCTTTTTCTTTTTCTTTTTTTGGTCCGGTCGTGGGGCCTGAACTCTGGGCCTGAGCACTGTCCCTCAGCTCTTCAGCTCAAGGCTAGCGCTCTACCACTTGAGCCACAGCACCACTTCCGGCTTTTTTC